GGCACAAATTATTCAACAGTGAAGATTCCTAGGCATCTTGAAAATGGTTCCATTGGCAGCGGTGAACGACGCAGGCAAATAAATGGCAGATAATATCAGGGGAAAAGTAGACTAAACTTACCGAAGATGATTGACAAATCCGTAGTATAGATCCGACAGGTTCACCAGATAATCTACAGATTATAATTATGGAATACACTCAACTTGCCTTTAATATTGGGATCTGAAATACTGCGATACGCCATCTGGTGACGACCCCGTTGTGTCAGCCATTTTTCGTTTCATCCTTTTTAAAATATATGTAGAAGAAAGAGATAAAAAATAAAGATGGCTGACGCAACGGGATCAGTTTTCCCATAATTCCCTATGATTTCAGATCCCTATAACAATTGAACATTTATTAAAACAGTATTTTAAAGTCATACAATACAGAGAATAAATTGCGGAAATACTCAATGTATGTTCAACGGTAGCACGCATCGCTCTGCTTTTCTCTATTTCTACCGACTTACGACAAAACGTGGTTTTTTTTGTCTGCTAGCAAAGCTGCTCGCTAGCGTCACCTAGCGGCAAGACGCTACATGACCCGCCGTAATTTAAATTCTAGGGAGCTGACGGTAACGACCATTTAATTACGTTAATGAAAACGATTTTCGATCCTTACAAATTATTTATTAATTAATTTATTAATTTATTTATCACTGTATTTATATATTACTTAATTTATTTATGTTCCTATTATTTAATTAAATTATTAATTAATTTATTTTTTATTAAATTAATTTCAAATAATTTTTTTTTAAATTTATTGCATTAGAAATAATAGTAGCAGTTGATGTAAAAAAAATTGTGAGACAAATAAAGCGAAATTATATTAAATTTAATACATTTATCTAAATCAATTTTTTTTCTGTCCATTGATCTGATTGACGTTAACGACTGGAAATAAGGAGGGACACTATATATATGGAGAGAGAGAGAGAGAGAGAGAATAAACGGGTTAGAATTGGATAAAAAAAGAAAAGTTATATCTTGATATGGGATGAAAAAAAGAAAAAGTAAAACGAGTACAATATCATTTGAAGGAGTCCGGATGGTATGAGAATCATTAGAAGCCCATTGTCAAGTAACAGTTTGACATGCTTTCTACTTTTTCTCTTTTTTCTTCAACCCTTTCTTTTTATCATCCTTTTTCTATTTTCCCAATGGGAAACACCAAAAAATAGGATTTTCTTTAAATTACTGTCGTTATATAATGAAACTAAGAAAATTATGTTCTTTTTTGTTTGTTAACTATAATTGTAAATTAAATTTAATATTAATAGTTTATATTTTTATATTTAAAAAAAATGTATAAATAAATATTAAGTCGAATTTGTCACAGAGAAAAACAACAATAGTTTATGTCTCTCAGAAGCTTTTCTCACTGAATGGCTTCTATTTTCCATTTCTTGTTTACAGATTGTTACCACTTAGATGGAAAATTTCCTCTCGAAGATTCTTCGAGACAATGCAACTGACATAAGCGTAATGCGATTTTCTTTCAACTTTTTTCACGAATCATAAAATTTTCTTTTTTTTTTTGTAATTTTTTTTTCTCCACTCGGTGAAAGAATTTGCGAAAAGCAATGTAAAAATAAATAACTTTTTAGAAGAAAATTAAATTTTTTTTTCTACTTGAAAATATTTAAAATATTTTTCCAATAATTTATTTTTAAATTCGAGAAAAATTGAGAATTTATATATATCTGTAACATTTACAATTGGATACAATTTCTTTAGAATATTTGAATTTTTTTTGTTTTAAAAGAAAATTCTGCATCACGGATTTTTCGATTCAATTTTAGACTTTCTATTTCATGACAGTAATCCTGCATATGTCAATCTTTGGGAAATTTCGTTTTGAATAACGAAGAATTTACCTTTCAAGACGTCTGTATGATAAAAAGTAAATCAAAAGACAATTCAAATTTATGAAAATCTTTAAAAATTTATTTTATAAAAATAATTTTTTTCTGCAAATGTAGTTTTATTTCTTTTTTCAGTTAAATTTTATTTAGGAAAAGAGACAAATTTGAAAATTTCTTTCGATATAATTACAATTATGATAATTAAATAAATAAAAAAAATATAAAAAAATGATATTGTTAAATTAAATTTGAAAATTGTCAAATCAAAAAAGAAAATGATTCTTTCGATTACACCTGTTGGTAATTACAAAAGAATATGGGTGAGATTTTTTTTCGTGAGTTCAGCGAACGATTGAAGAGACGAAAGGAAAAAAAATCCTATTTGTTCAGAGGTCTCGTGGTGACCATGAAAATCGTACGAGGGTAGACGACGGGTACACAGAAAAAAAAAATAAAAAGTGGGGTGCTGATAAGAAGCACGTTTTCCCTTGAGGGTACTTGGGTAATTTTTCCAGTTTTCTTTTTTTCTTTTTTTTTTTTGCGAGACAACCGCTCTTTCACTTGAAGCAAAAGAAAGGAAGGAAACATTCAGTTACCTAGTTGTAAATTATTTTTCTCCACTACAAATACAAGTATCACGATTGCAAAACGCAGTCTAGAGTCTTCATTACGAGCACACATGATTTATGGCTTTATTAAAAATCAAAAAAAAAAGAAAGAAGAGAAAAAAATTCAAGAGGAGAAAAAACACGAGGTGCGATTGAATTTTTACGAGGCTCTATGATATTTCACTCTAATCACGTTTTTTGTACTCGTAAAAAATTTAGATTCATTTTTTTAAATTAACTTTTTAATTGAGAGAAAACTTTCTTCTTTTACGATAGTTATTTGTTTTCATTAAAAAATTTTTTATTATTTTTCATTTTGTTTATTATTAGGAAAAAAATTAATATAATAATTTTTGTATTTTTTTGTCGCAGAAAAAGAATACAAGAGTTAGATTTGCAAAAAATTTTCAAGCATTTAATTAGTCTGACTGAAATTGATTTGTACTATTGAAAAATAAAATTTTTTTCTTTTTCAGTAGTTATAATAAATTTTAGCCAGACAATTAAAATACGTAATCTGATTGATACTGCTTTTTACTACTGAAAAATATAATGCTACTAATTTCAATCTTTTTTCAGTAGTACAAATCAGTTTTAGTCAGACAAAGCTCTGAATTTTTGAAATTTTACTCCAAGTAGTAGAATAAAGTTTTAGTCAGACTGAAATCAAATTTATTACTGATGAAATAAATTATAAAAATATGCCGTCGGACTTTTGATTTGTACTACTGAAAAATAAAGTGTTACACATTTTTTCTTTTTTAGTAGTAATAATAAATTTTAGTCAGATAATTCAAATACGTAGTCTGATTGAAACTACTTTTTACTACTGAAAAATATAATGCTTCAAATTTTTTCAGTAGTACAAATCAGTTTTAGTCAGACGAAGCTATGGATTTTTGTAATTTTAGTGCAAATAGTAGAATAAAGTTTTAGTCAGACTGAAATCAAATTTATTACTAATGAAATAAATTATAAAAATATGCCGTCGAACTTAAATTGATTTGTACTACTGAAAAATAAAATTCTACAAATTTTTTTCTTTTTCAGTAGTAATAATAAATTTTAGTCAGACAATTCAAATACGTAGTCTGATTGAAAGTACTTTTTACTACTGAAAAATATAATGCTACTAATTTCAAACTTTTTCAGTAGTACAAATCAGTTTTAGTCAGACGAAGCTCTAAACTGAAAAAACAAACAAAAAACTGAAACAAAATCAATTTGTTTTGAGTAGTAACAGTCAATTTCAGTTAGACGAAACAAAATAAATTTCGTTTTAAGTAGTAACAGTCGATTTAAGTAAGACAAATAAAAAGAATTTTGTTTTAAGTAGTAACAGTCGATTTTAGTCAGACGAAACAAACCAACTTTGTTTTAAGTAGTAAAACTTACACAATGTCAGACATTGTTTTAAATTCTTCCAGAATTTTTGCCAACAATAGTAAAGGTCAATTATAGTCAAACATTTGTGATTTCTGTAATATTTGCCCTTCTTTCTATAATAATTATTGATAAAATTTTTTTTTTCGGAATAATAAATAAATTATTATTTTATTTATATGCAATAAATGTATACAGATTAATAAACATTTCTGTCTCATTTCCCGTATTTTATCAACGTGAGAATTATAGTCGAATCGAAAGAAACATTATACGAAATTTATCTCACCAACCGCTATATTTTCAGAGGAAGTGTAAAGTACGTAAAAAAAGGGAACAAAAAAAAAAAAAAAAAAAGTAAGAAAAAAAACTGCTTTCGTTTGGTACACGTTTACCAAATGGCTTGAAGATCTCTCTCAAGCTTTACTATGTTTTCGTTTCTCTTTTTCTCTGGGTCGAGGCTTTAATTTTTAAAGTTTTCCCTCTGCTACTTTTGATACAAGAAATCACGAAAATGTACAACGAACACGTCTGTTATTTTTTGACAGTTGAGAGTGTAAAAAAAAAAAAATGTTGACGGATGGAAAAAAAAGGTAAAGGATATATAAGAATAAGAATAAAATAAAGAGGAAAAAAAACTAAAGATTATTATTACAGCTCGTTATCTCGACGAAAAGAAGCTGCAAGCCCAAAAAATGTATTAAGAGATGGAAAAAAAGGGACGAAAAATGTACGCGCAGAAATGAATGGTCGGATTTCTTAAGTCAAAGATAAGGAAATGCCCAGAGAGAATAAGAGAGAGAGAGTGTACAATGAAAAATTCTTAACTTGAATGAGGGTCCATCTACTTTAGGGAACAAAAGTGATAGTGTCAAAAGTATTCAACCAATTAACTTTTAAGATTTTTATTTCAATTAAAAAGTAGAAAATTTTTTTTTGAAAAAAAAATCTTTTTTAAAGATTTCTTTTCTCTCTCTTTTTTTTGAATGAAAAGACTTTTTTTCTAACCAAAAGTTAAGCTGTAAAAGGCCGAATGCAACTCCTCTTTCTCTCTCTCACTGAAAATAGATTTGAAAATAAATTGAGTGTTGGAACTCACCCGAAAGGCATCACGAAGTTCTTGTTCTTCTTGATCTTGATCAGGAGGAGCTGCTGCACTCGCTCCTCCAATATTGCTGACGATTTCCACGAACTCTTCAAAGCTCACATTTCCGTCGCCTAAAAAAAAGAAAAAAAAGAAAAACGAAAGTAGCATGTGAAATTTTTCTTCATTTTTATTCTGGTGAAAATTTCTCATGGAATTTATTTTTTTTGCCACTGTAAAAAAAATCATATCAAGTTGTTTGCCACACACGTAAGAAGAACGTTGACGCATTGTAAACGTATAAGTATTACATATTTTGTCATATCATTTTTCCATCACACGAGTGAGACGAAATAACGTGACGTAATATTAGGAATCTTGTTGCGCGCATGATATATATATGTCATTTAAAAGTGTTGCGTCTCTTATTTACATATTTCTATTATACGTGATGCAATATTGTGCAGACAATTTGTAAAGAAAAAAAAAATTTAATACCATCCGCATATATTGATGGATTTATAAAAAAAACAAGATTTTTTTGGGAGGAGGGGAATTTCACTTTATATTGAAAAACTTTTAAAGGTTCTGATAAATTTTTATATACAGTGAAAAAAAATTATTCGATTCAAATAATTTCAACACTAGAAATTTATTAAATAAATAATTGAGTATTAACAAAATAAATTTTCATTTCTATTAAATAATTATTGAATCAATTAAATGATATTTGTTTCAAATAGAGAAATTATTAGTTCAATAATTATTTGGTTCGAAAATTTATTTGGTTCAAGTAAATATTTATTTGATAATATTCAACTGATTATTTGAATGAAATAAATTTTTTTTTTCAGTGTATAGAAAAATATAAATAGTTTTGAATTATTTTTGTTTACATTATTATTTTTTGTACATAAATCTATTAGCTTTTATAGAATTAAACTTCGCCGGACTGGATAATTTTTATATACACGGTTGACAAGATCCCACCCAGGGTGGGCCAAATGTTTTCTTCTTTGTATATTGCAATAAAGACTTAGAATCATTCAGTTTTTTTCCAAAATTGTTATATGTTACCAAATAATATATTTTATTAATGTTTTGTTGATTTTTATTTGTTTAAACAATTTATTATTAATAATTTATAACTTTTTCAAATATACATACGACAGTAGAAGAATTTTATAAATTTGTTACCTTTTCTTCGTAGTTATTAATTCAAAGGTTATAAATAAAATAAAATATATAATTCAATTTGCAACAACTATTATTATAAATTGTTTAAACAAATAATTGTTGCTATTTATTAACATTCTTCATAATATTCCTAGAAAATTGCAATTTTTTTCTAATTTTGCACCTTAACAAGCACAACATAATAACACAAAGATTTTATATGAATTTACTATTTAACCAATTGTTTAAACAAATAATTGTTGCTATTTATTAACTTTCTTTATAATGTTCCAAGAAAGTTGCAATTTTTTTCTAACTTTGCAACTTAACAAGCTCAACATAATAAACATGAAGATTTTATATGAATTTAGTATTCAAACGATTGTTTAAACAATTTATTGTTGTTATTTATTAACTTTATTTGTTTAAACAATTGTTGAATTAATAATTTTACTTCAAATCTATCTTTTATTATATTCGGCTTGATAAATTGCAAAATTAGAAAAAAACTGCATCTTTCTAGGTGCAGAACAAAGAAAGTTAATAAATAATAACAATAATTGTTTAAACAATTGTTGAATTAATAATTTTACATCAAATCTATCTTTTATTATATTCCGCTTGATAAATTGCAAAATTAGAAAAAAACTGCAACTTTTTAGGTGTAGAACAAAGAAAGTTAATAAATAATAACAATAAATTGTTTAAACAAATGAAAAATGCAATATAATATTTTTTATATCTATTATTTGACATCATAAAACACTCACAGTGAAAAGTCTGCATGATTTCAAGTCTTTTTGTAAAATAGAATTAAAAAAATATCTGAATCATCCCGGTTATCTCCGTACATACATTGATAAAAGTTATAAATAATCAAGAAGAAATTTTTTTTTAAAATTTGTTTTTACATTTTTTGAAAGTTCTTAAGATTTTGTTCAGTGACTTAAAATCGCGATTCAATTAAGGCAAAACTTTAGAAGATATGGCAATTTCAATTTGTCTGGCCCACCCTGGGTGGGCATCTTGTCAAGCGAAGGTTAAAAATGCATTACGACTGTGAGAGAACGCGATCTCACCATCTTGCGGTGTTGGTAGGAACCAAAAAAAAGGCTGAACGAAATTACCAACCGATAATTTTTACTAGTTCAAATTTCTGCCGCAAGATGCTGATATCTCTTTCTCTCGCAGTTGAAATGAATTATCAATATATATAAGAACTGTGAATTAAAAGTTGAAAAAAATAAAAAAATAAATTACTTTCAGTTTCTTTTTTGAAAATTTTCTCTTCTGTTGTAAATGTCTCCATTTAGAGATAAGATATTATCCTTTCTTTCTAAATTTCACTTTTCCCCCTTTTCAAGATGACAATAATGACTTTTTTCGCCCTAAGCATTATTATCATTTTTCCTTCATGACATTTATGTAAACATATATAAGAAGATTATATTTAGGATATTATGTCGTATTTTGGAAAACTTTTTTTTTTGAGATGAAAGCAATTTTTACCACCTGCGAGAGAGAAAAAGAAGAAGCGTGGACAAGAAGAACGTGTTGTTGACTATATAAGGGTATCTCTCATGGCAGTATAAGCCGATTACGGATTAGAAAGGTTTACTGTTTACGAGGTGCCAAGGGAACCTTTAGGACCCAAGGTTTGTCCTCTTTGTACGCATTTTCCTTCATCTCTTAATGTCCCTTTATACATCTTCTCGCGTAAAATTGTCCTTCATCCAACATATAACAGAAAATAGTTGGCGAATTCTCATCACGTCTCATTTTCTGTATTACAGTCTTTTAACAGCTTGAGTTTTATAATTTTTAAATTGAAACTGTCACTTGTTCAAAATACAATATCTTTTCATTTCATTATCATTACAAAAAACTGTTTTTTTTTTATTTCTTTTTCGACATTTATTTATTTTATTAATAAGATAACAAAAAATAAATATCAAAACAAATTGAAAAAAAAATTTATTTAAATAATAGAATTTTTTTTGCTAATGAAAAAAATTTAGTATTTAATTAATTGTTTTTTAAAATCTATCACGCAGTTTTGACCATCAAAAGGAAATTTAATAATTAAATTAATTTACAATCTCCGGTGTATGAAATCTAGTGATCGTAACATTTTTTTTTATATGAGAAATAAAGTAGAAAAAGATTGGATGGAAATCAATTAGAAGAGTTTAGAGGATAATTAAAAAGATATGAGGATATTTTCTGACAGAAGAATGAGGCTTTCATGAAGGAATTTCTTTTCTGTGGAATTTTTTTTTTTGTGTCATATTTTCCTAATATCTTTATAGTAAAGAAGAGAAAATGAAAGTGAGAAATCTTATTTTTGTTATTTATTAACAGCTAATTAATATTATTAATTTATTAGTAGCTAAATTAATATTATCAATTATTATTAATTATTGTATACAATTTCTGAATTTAATAAATTAATTATCTACTTGTGACATATAATGCTCATTTATTTCACTTTCAGTCTATATATATATATATATATATATATGAAGAGTGAGTGATAATTTCCACTTCATAATCGCCATTAGTCATAAAGATCTGTTGCATTGATGTGATTAATTAGGAAACATTTGCAGATGATCAAAGTGAAAATAAATGCAATAATTAGTTTTGCTTCACTATCAATTCATTCATTATGTCAGATATAAATGATTTTTTTTTCCATAATAATTTTATAAATTATAATTTTATCGAAATATAAATATATTCGGGTATATAAATACAATAAATATAAATAGCAATAGCTAATTAAATTAATATTTTAATTGCAATATGTTAATTTCTCATAAAATACTGATACAAAATATGTCAAAAATTTTTATTATTTTTAATTAAAATTTATTGCAATTATTATTAATTTAATATATTTTTTGTATAATGAAATTATTTGATTCTAGTAATTAAACTTTTTTTATATTAAAATCGCGATAATTATTGCAATAAATTTGTTAGATAATTCTCCCATCTAGATTCATTTAGAGTATAAATCGATTGATCGACTTTATTTATAAGATACGTGTACCAACTCTCAATGGGATTTAAGTTAAGCACATACGATTATCTCGAGCTACGAGGAGCATTATTACTTTGAAATAACAAAAGCTTAGATAAGTTTTATCAAATTCCTTGATAATGTATAAAATTAATTAAAAAGCAACAATTAATGCGGAATTAAAATTAAAAGGAAATATTAATTAGAAATATTAATATTATTCTAATTTCGTTTCTATGGAAAAAAAATCTATTTCTAAAATTACGTTTCTGGTTATTTATTTATTTATTAACAGTTGCTCAATATTTTTTTTTTTTTTTTTTGAGAAATAATGTATCAAGTTGTGAGTAGGTAAACTGAAATTCCCTCGTTGTCAAAGGTCAAATTGCAATGTCTATAAACACACTCAACTCAGAGGAAGATAATCTATAGAACTTGAGATTCAACTTGGATTGACTATACTGTATAGATACGTAACGCTAGTTTCCAATTTGCCAAGGACAAGAGCCAACACCGTGAATTTCTCAATTGAATCTAACTGTTAAGATCTCAGAGAATGACATTCGAAGTGTTGGCTGTTCTTGTCAGGTGATATTGTCAATCTATAATTACAAATACCAATTCAAATAAATATATTGAAACGTCAATTATATATATATGTATATAAACACAACGAAGCCATTATAATAATTCTCGCAAACTAAAATTACGCAACAAAAAATATATTAACAAGAAAATTAATTAACTGAAGATATAAATTTCGTTTTGAATTTTGAAACAAAGTTTCTCACATCAAGAATAAATTATTATTAATCAATTCAAAGTTTTATTAATTAATTTTCTGTTTTTGTTTTAATCAATAGGGTCAGCCGGGGTAAATCCGAACGCTAATTATTTCAGCTTAATTAAAATTTTTAAAAAATAAGTTAGACA